CAGAAAACTTCCCCTACCTGGTGAAAGAAATGGACTTACAAGTCCAGGAAGCGCAGAGAACCCCAAACAAAAGGAATCCAAGGAGGACCACACCAAGACACATCATAATTAAAATGCCAAGAGCAAAAGATAAAGAGAGAATCTTAAAAGCAGCAAGAGAAAGACAGTCAGTTACCTACAAGGGAGTACCCATACGACTGTCAGCTGATTTCTCAACAGAAACCATGCAGGCCAGAAGAGAGTGGCAAGAAATATTCAAAGTGATGAATAGCAAGAACCTGCAACCAAGATTACTTTATCCAGCAAAGCTATCATTCAGAATAGAAGGTCAGATAAAGAGCTTCACGGATAAGAAAAAGCTAAAGGAGTTCATCACCACCAAACCAGCATTATCTGAAATGCTGAAAGGTATTCTTTAAGAAGAGGAAGAAGAAAAAGGAACTCTTACCATTTGCCACAGCATGGATGGAACTGGAGAGCGGATAAATACCACATGATCTCACTCATTTGTGGAATATAATGAACAACATAAGCTGATGAACAAGGACTGATCCAGAGACGGAGAGGCATTGATTGGACTGTTGGGACTTGGAGGGAAGGTAGGGTAGGGTGGGGGTAAGGGGGAAAGATCAACCAAAGGACTTATATGCAAGCATATAGGCCTAATCAATGGACATGGACAACGGGGGGGTGAGGGCATGAGTGGGGGTGGGGGGGGTGGGGGGTAGAGGGTAACTTGGGGACAAGGACACATATGTAATATCTTAATCAATAAAAAATATATTAAAAAAAAAAGAGTATAGAGCAGAAGTTGGTGATATAGAAAACAGAAGAGCGGTAGAGAATATCAATAAAACCTAAAGTTCATTCCCCAAGATCAATAAAGTCAATACACCTCTAACCAAGATTGTGTGTTGAGTAATTTTTTATTATATCCCAGACATGTGAGTTATTGTGGAGACTCTGGATTCTATTATAAACCAACTGGTCTGTCTCTGAAAGGACAGGGAATAACATATTCTCCTTCCTGGGGAATCAGGGATTAAATTGAAAGGTATTTACATAAAAATCAAAGATTTTAAATTGGACTATAAATTCAGTACTGGGCTATCTCAAAACCATGGTGTGCCAGAGAAACACAATTTTCCATGAGCTGAAATCATCTGAACTACCACTTCTGCGTTTTCCTGCCAGAGCACCTCTCTTTCTTCTTGAACATCCATCTAACCCCCACACCTTGACTCCAGATGCTTTGCTCAGCTTCATAACATGTGGCGTTTCCACTGAGTCTCCCAGATAGAAACTGTGTACTGGCAGCTGGTGGTCCAGACTCAGCCCAGAGAGGAGCTGAGTCTTGTTTGCACAGTATTGTTAAAAAGTCAGAATTTGTTGCTAACATATAACCGTTTCGGAGTTGGGATAGTTGGTAACCTAGAGCCCATATTCCTACATGCCAATAATTAATTGGAACTGACCAGTGGCCTTTTCCTTAGTCTTCCTATTAAGAGTGTTTACATTCATTTTCTCATTTAATTATTACAGCAGCTCTTTATTTAGCAGCTGTCACCGTCATCATCACCGCATCCAAAGAAACAGTCTCAGAGAAGTGAAGCGCCCAGGTTCCCTCAGGTGGTTAGTGGAGGACTAGTGTTTAAGCACAAGTGTGTCTGCATTACCCAAAATTCCTTTCTTCATAATATTAAAAAGGAAGTTATTTTTACCTGTCACTTCAGTTGAAAAAATTATTAATGTCCATAAATATTATATGATGCCAGCTATAGAGCCCTGGGCTACGAGTTGGTCACATTATTTAAATTATGCAAGGTTAAAGAATCAATTCATTCGTCACTTTTTCCTAAATTGCTTAAGACTGGATTTAATCTAGGCTACTCTCTCTTTTCTAAAATGTTGACATTTGTTGTCTATGCTGCCCAAATAAGTTACCTATAAGCAATTGAGGAATATGTTCATTTTAACACTATTTTCTGTGTAAATACGTGAACATGATTCCCTTCCATAAGAATAACAAATCATTGCTACCAGAGAACAGAGATAGGCACTGATGCTTTTGGTTTTCTGTTTTCAGAAGGAACACAGAATTTAAACTCCACTTTGAATAAAAATTATCCACGATTTAGATAACAAGTTGTATCTTTCATCAAGAAACAAATGTCTCTTCCTCACAAAGACAGACTTGTATATTCTAGCTAATAAATATTTACTTTTGGTCTGAACAGATTAGATTCTTTCATCCCAGACTGTTTGTGTCTATGTAAATAGTATTGTTATCAGGCTGGAGCTAGTGTTTTCAGGTTTCCGCACACAGACTACTTGACAAATAATTAAATACATTTATTACATAAAAGTCCATTGGAATTAGCCCTTTGTATGCCATAAGCGTCCATAGCTGCAGGTGGCGGATTTTTAATATTAAAATTCAAAATATCGTGGCGTGTGGGGATGGTTTCCGTTTTGGATGCGTGGCAGTTAACTGGTTAAATACTAACTTATGCTGTGGGTTAATGCGTATGTGTAGTATAGGTTGTGTACCTTACTCTTCGAAAAGTAAGGAAAGTATTGTTAACCCTTCCCACTTTAGCTTAACTTTTAAAAGAAATTAAACAGATCCATGTTTGTAATAAAGTATCCTTTGCCGAAAGCTTTCTTTTTTTGCGAGAGGTGGGGATGATGGTGCTCGTGTTAAGAGAGCACCTTTTACTGCTTCCCTCTTTGCTTGTTGAAGAATGAGCAAAATATCAAAGCAGTTAGGAACAGCTTAAATGGTAGACACTTTGATGTCAGATAGACCTTGAACAAGCTACTTTCCCTTCGTTTCCTTCTCTGTAAACTATGGCTAGAAATGCTACTTACAAATTCCCCTTGACAGTAATTCTGTAAAGGCCTAACCCTGTACTTGGGATGTAATAGGCACGCTCTATGGTTCTGTCATCCTCCTCTTAACCATCATCAACAAGATGACTACGGTTTTTACTGGCATGAAGACATATTGTGTGGCAGCCATATATTCCAAGGTGAATTTTGTGGCATATGATTTGTAAACAAATGATAGAAGCACATTAGGAGAAATTTAAGTATTCAGTGTGTCTGGGAATTTTACAATAGGTTATTTTATTTAATTGGGCGCCGTCTAAGAGACAGAATCATGGATACTCTCTGAGCCTAATAAGTCTGCACTGAATATTGGTCAAGTGTCCTTACCAGTTGTAATGACAGTTCAGTGAAAAACCTGTGTTGTGGCTCAGAGCTACCAAGCTTCAGACTTTAAGTAACTGCAGGTAGCAAGCTATAGTTCAACAGTAGTTTTGTACTTGAAGACATTGAGGTGCTAATGGAATGGAAGGAGCACTGGATTAGGAGTCAAAAGATGAGGATTATTCTACCTGTCAGCACTCAGCATCACCTTGGTTGTCTTGCTTTTCCTCAACGCTGAAAGTGGAGGGCTGGAATACATCTTTAAGATCCCAAATGTAATGAACAAGTGCCTTTCAGTGCATTTGTAATAGGATTGCCTTGTACAAAAAATAGCTTAGAGCCAGCAGAGGGAGCACAAAGCATGAATTTATGCCTGGATCTTAGGAAAATTGGGGAGTCATATGTGGTTAAACATTAACCACAGTTCTTTAAAAACAGGAGATTATTTCTTATCAAGTTATCCCCAACTTGATTTGAGCTATAATTTTGTCCTGAAATTGTGACATTTTTACAACTACTGATAAAATTTTACCTCTGTAATTATTGGTAGTTAAATAGAGCTGTGTTCTAAAAAGACATTTTAAAATGGTTATTCCTGGGGAACACTATGGTTTATGTTCTGTATTGTTAAATATATTTTAATTTAAAAACATTTGTAATTTTATCATATCAGAAATATTCTGGTTGATACTGTAGTAAACTCTGTTGTTTGGACTTAGCTCAGAACTAAAAGGGACTGTAGCTTCAAATATTAGAGGCTTTTAAAATCCTATTTAAGTGATACCTCATTTATCTAGCATCCCTGGGAATTATGGAGTTCCACATATTTTCCAGATAACAAAAGTATGTTTTATGAAAGCACTATCTTAAAAAAATGCTTTGAAAGTATTTCAGCCAAGACATCTTGCTATTGCAGACGCACAAGTTTTGTAAGTACAAGACTTGGTGCATGTTTGCACCCATTTCTGGAGGCTGCAGGGATGTTGCCATGCGCTTGGACAATTGTACTAAACATTAACGGAATGCTGAGTTTGCTCCTACTTTGATCTCAAAACCCTTTTCTTGTTTGGGGGAGAGGGGTTCACTATTAAATGTTCCCCATTTCCATATATTTCCATCCTGGTTTTCTTCTTCGTTGATTTTATTATGTAGGAGTTTTAGCTAAGGAAGGTTATAACTTAGCTTGTGTAGAGTTGTGTTAAATCAGGTTAATAAGACCTAGAGTTGAATTCACAGCTCTCTCTTGGGCATTGATAACCACTTCATGCTAGGAAATCTTTCTCTGTGGGCTGGGTTTATGTCTTTAGACATGGGAAAGGAGGCATATTTAGTTTGTTGGGTTTTCTAAAAAGTATTACCCGTGAAAGATGTATGAAAAGTAACTCAAAATTAGGGATAGTTTTTCTTTTGAGATAAATTAAATTACCAAGGTTTTAATTTACTTAGGTCATTCTTACTAAATAGCATTTCTGACCAAATTTAGTCAAAATTAGAAAAATCTGTTTAATAATCCTTTTACTTATTAGATATTTTCCCACTGACTTACTTTAAAGTTAAAAACAAAAAATTTGCATGAATGACTGTGAAAAATAAAATTGTCTTTAAGCTTAATGATAGATTCTCTTTTTTCACTCACTTGTGTTTTTGTTATAACTACCAGGTCATACATTGACAAGTCATGTATTTTAGCTGTTATTTTAAAAATATTTTCACTCATCATAATTACTGTAACATTGTTTTTAAAGTTAGTCATCTTTCCATTTTCCTTCTATGTCTTCCTTATTTAGTTACATTAACCAGGAGAAATTCAATTCCAGGTATATTTATTGCTTTCCCTTTTTTGTTTGGGCGTCCATTTATGCCTGAGTCTTGCCAAATACTATGCTACAACTGACCACCAAAGTTATTTGTCTCAAAAACTTCTGAAATTTCATTTATTCCAAGAAATGTATTGAAACCAATTAGAAGACTCTTACTGATTTCCCTCTTTATACATTTCCATGTAAATTTGCATCATACACTATCCTAATTTACTTTTACCTTTTTACTTCCATCACCTTTAAAATAATTTGTACATTAAAAAATATATACCCCCAAATGCACTTCAATATTATGTTCAGTAATTCTTTTAATCAGCAGTTTTACTTCAAGGAATAGTCTCTCCCCTCTAGTATACTAAAAATTGTGTACAAGGGCATTCATTGCAGTGCTATTTGTAATACAAAAAACTGGGAACATTATACTGATTGATAGTGGACAGGTCAAATTATGGTATATCCATATTTTATATCAAGTAACTCGCACTAAATAATTGTTTGTTGACTGAATTAAGGAATAGATTGTTAAGTAGAAAAAGTGCAGGTACAAAACAGTTTATATTTTGTGGAATAAAAAGATGGATGTAAATGGACCGTATTCATTTATTCTTGATGCATATAACATTTCTAGAATCATATACAATAAACTGCTAACATTACCAGTGGTTACCAATGGGTCATAGGAACAGGCTTGAGTAGAAAGTACAGTATTTACTTTTAACTCCAAAAAGGAAAAACAAAGCAAAGCAAGACTAACTTCAAATGGAGAAGACCCAGAAAAATAAAATGATTGCAAAAAATGCACATACCCTAATTGGTTGAATCTTGTTTCCCACTTCTTTAGATAGCATTCTCATCCCACTCTTCTTACTTTCCAGTTTGCCTCTGTGCTTTGCCTTCTATTTAGAAATGCCTTTTCTCTTGCACAAATCTTTTTCCTTCAAGATTCTATTTAAGATCTAATGCCTTCATGAAACTTTGCTAGACTATTCCATTTCAAAGAAATCTGTCTCTTAGACATATGCTTAGTTTTAATCAGTATACGATTTCACACTTATTCATTCAGTAATTATTTCACTTAATTATTTTTCTTCTAACTGTATTTAGGTATAGATTTAGAGAAGTTTCTTGCCTCTGTTAATTTGCTTTGTATAACAGCCAGCATTACCAATCAGTGTTTAAAGAATTTTTTCTTGATAATGTTAAAACTTAATCTAGAAAGAATGCCCAGTAACCTTGTCTTCAGTGAATATCCCATTTAAACCATCTTAAATAGTTAGGGATTTTCCTAAAAAGATATTCAAAGTAACATTTTATTAGCAGGATATCACTAAGACATACTAGAGTAATGTTTTTGACATTTAAAAAAAATACTACAAATTATACCTCAAATTTATATGGAAAAATACATGGAATCAGAATTGCCTATATTTTTAAGTTGTCATCTAGCCCAACGAGGAACTCTTTACTCGTTAGCTATAGTAGATTTAATATCATAAGCACATAGTTATGTATACTCGAAGCATTCAGGATTGTTTTGTCTTCTTGGTGAATTGGCTTTTTTATCATTATAAAATCTTTCTACCTGTAATAATAATATTCTTGTCCTGAAACCTACCATGTCTAATATTAATAGAACCACTCCAGCTTTCTTATGACTAGTGTTTATATCATTTTTATATTGTTTTAATGTTAACTTATCTGTATCTTTAAATTTACAACTGTTACTCTTGTAAACAGCATGTAATTAGGTCTTGCTTATTATCCAGTTTGACAATCTCTGCCATCTCATTGGAGTGTTTAGCCATTTATATTTAATGTAAATTAGCTTTATCCTTTGAAAATTGATCTTTTTAGATTTATTAGGGTAAATTTTAGAATACAGTAATTATTACTCTGGGTTAGATATACTCTGCTTCTAAAGTATGGTCTTTCTGAGAATTCAACTGAATGCCCATGTTCAGTTAGTTTTATCCACTCTGGCTGGTGGGAACTCAAGTATCCCTCAGTCTTTTGGGACTTCCAAAAATCTCTGTGCAGGTTTCAGTTCCTGGGTAGTTGTTTAACCGCCACGCCTTGTGGGGGGTTTTCTCTGTACTATACAGCTTAGTATTTAGCAAACACTAAGGAAGAGCCTTTGGCAGATTTCTGGACCTTTCTCTTGTATTTCTCTCCCATCCAATAATCTGCCCTGCAAATTCCAGCTGCCGCAGCAGCCTCAAATTCATATATCTGTCTTATCAGCTCAGCACAATATTATTGAGTGTACTATTTGGGTCCCACTATTCTGAACTACAGTCTGGAATGTTCCTCTAGGCAGAAACTCACCATATATAGGTCTCTCTTCTTTTAGGGCCAGAATCTTGCACTTCAGATGTACAGCATCTGAAAACAGTTATTTCATATATGTTGTCCAGTTTCTTAGTTGTTTACGACAAGAGAGTTATTCAGTACCATGTAGTTCATCATTGTCAGAGGCAGAAATCTTATAATATGCATATTAAAGGTTATTCTTTTTGAGAAATAAAAATATAAAGCTATAAATTAAACCATAGACTCTATTATATTAAAGAAATAATCTAATCCAACACAGTTAAATGAAAGATGAGAAAATTGAGATAAAACAAGTTCATGTGACTTGTAATAAATTACACTGTGAGTTACTCATAGAGTCATTTCATAACCCAGGTTTTCTAAATGTTTGTCTACTGTTTTTCCCACTATAGTAATCTTATGAAAATTTCTTCCATGTTTGAAATATAATTTTAACTTGTCATTTTTTTTATACTTTAGAACCCTTATACTTTAAACATTCTTCTCACTTAATTTTTGTTCTGTCAATAGTATTGTTAATCCTGCTATTAACACAGGCATGAAAAAAAGAATCCTTACAAGTGTGTTTTAGAATGATTGACATTCTGTGGAACTATATAATTCCATGTAAGACCTAGCAAAGGAGATATTTGGTTGTTTTAATATAATTGGGGTCTCTGTTTTATTTTTTTCAGTTTGTTCTCCTTGCTGTCTAAAAAACACAACAAAGTTCTGGAACAAGCTACACAGTCCTTGAGAGGCTCGCTAAGTTCCAATGATGTTCCTCTACCAGATTATGTAAGTAGTTACCTTTACTTTGTCAATAAAAAGCTTTCCTTTCATTGCTAAATGTATAAATAACAGGACCTCTCTCTTCTCAAGATCTGCCAGTGAAATCTCGAATGCACAAATAAAGGAGCGACATCTTAAGTCAAGGGAAACAATTTTAATGATTACTAACAAACGGTTGAGGAAAGTCAACCTAAACCAATGGTTTTTCATAAGTAGAGCTCTTATTACCTTAATCAAGAAACCCTCTCAAATGAATTACAGAAAATAAAAGGAGGGTTTTTATAGGAAGTATGCAAAGGTTTCTCACTAAACATGGATTTCATAGAGAACGAGAACCTGAAAAGCTGTTGGATTCAAGAATATACTGTCTTTCTGCGGTCATTTCGTTTCTGTTCTCTGCTGCTTTTTGCTTCACTTTTATTCTTCTGCTCACTCCAGGCTAGGCCTCTCCATTTGCTGACTGAAATAGCAACCCCAACCCTTCCTCTTCTGCCGGAGACCAATTCCAGCATGTCATAATTTCAAGAGTTTCATCAAAAGGTTGATGAGACTTGGGGACTCAACAGGGTTGAGTCACACATGTAGTCACCTGTTGGGAATGGCTAAAGGCATTTCCCCAAACCTGAATAGGAAACTGATTGCTGCTGCCAGACAGCTAAAGGGCATCTTAATCTACATGTTATTGCCTCCTACTGGCCAAACACCTGAACAGCCGAAGGCTAATTCCCCCATTCTGACAGTGGACTCTGTACCAAACACTGACCCTTTGAAGTGTATATCTCTGCCTTGCCTCAGGACAAGTTGTGTTAATAAAAAGGATGGGGTCCTGGGGACGGAGAGAACCTAAGGCCTTTAGGACCTTAGATCTTAGCTCCTTTAGCTAAGCTCCTCTGACCCCCAATACCTTTCAAAATTGTATCTCGTCTCCGGACTCTTTATAGTCTCTGGATTCCTATGTCATCTACGCACAGCCTTCTCCAGATTCCTGAACCCTTCTTGATGCTGGGACAAGAACCCCGGCACTCTTCCACCTCCTGAGCCATAACATGTCTTTGTGTGTGTCCACTGACCAGAGTCTTCAAAGTCCTGGGAAAGAGACTCTAATTGGCTCTGTCCAGGTCAGGTGCTGCTCTAGTCCTGTCAGCCATGTCAGCAGAGAACAGCAGGAACATCTGCCTTGGCTCTTCCACTTTAAAGATGAAGAACATGATACCACCTGACCTCGTCCTTAAGGGTGAGGATGGAATCGTTATATAGTAATAGGAAGGAGAATGCATTATGAGTTCACAGATAGGGCAGTGCCACTATCTGTGACATTTCTCGTATTTTGGAGCATGGCGTAGTGGAGGATGCTAAAAATTATCTTGTCATAAACCACAGAAGTAGTTCATCAAGCTCTATCTAATAGGACCTCTCTGAATCCCCAGACAACAACCTAATGGGTTGATATTTAGAAACTTTATGAGAGAATTTTTAGATTCTGATTTTGAAGTGGCGATGCATACCAGACAGCCAGAGAGTTGTTTTGCTTGTTTCCTGTGGTTTGTTTCATTTCTAAATGGTTGTGCTGATACGAGACTGTGGGAACAGCACCCAGTCCGGATAGCAGTTGCTGATAAACAGAGATAGCTGTGTGCAGCCACAGCCTGACTGGGGCTATTTTTCTTCTCATTTATTTGTGTGTGTGTGTGTGTGTGTGTGTGTGTGTGTGTGTGTGTGATAGGATCTGTCATCCCATTAAGGTATTAAGATTATAATTCCAAAGTACTTCTCTCTCACACACAAAACATTTATCTTTTAAGATTTTCCTGTTAGTTGAGTATTCTCAACTTTTAAAAAATTAGTATAATAGCTCACTTACTTCTATCCTTGCCATGACTTGTTATAAGAAAACTGTTCTTCTTAATGGCTGCTTGGAAACCCATAAAGGTCAGAGTGGCAGTGGGGATTGTGTTTATTAGGAGTTTGAATTTGGTTCATCTATAAATCTTTTGTACAATTATCATTTGATTTACGTAGTATTTCTCTGTTGTTATTCCACACAAAAAAAAATGTATACACTCTTGAGATTGCCCTAGCAGCATTCTCCTCGAATAAGAATCCATAAAATGATATTTCTTTGAGAAAATGGGTTATATTTTATAGTATTTGCCAATTATGGAGGTGATGGTGCAACGAAGGGATGTTGAACTTCAACAGACATATGAATTCTCCTATTGAACATCACAGTTTTTAAAGTCACTGACTATTTTCTTCTTGCATGAAATTTTCACTAAGTAAACATGAATTTCTTAAAGCATCTGCTTCCTGGAAATACTGGGAAAATTCCATTTGGAATCTGTCATTAACAATCCTAATTTTAATATGAACTCGAATTTGCTGCCTTTCCTCCGAGTTAATTAAAGAGGGTGGGTACCACTGATTCAGTACTAGTGATGATAGCTGAGTCACTCCTCCTGCCACTGATCTGAAGGTGATTGAAGAAAACAGCAACCTTAGAAGTTAGCGCTGCCGTATGTTTTCTTTTGTGATAACTCAGTGTGTGTTTTTATTCACCATTCCCATTGCTCAAACATTATGAATAAGTGTTTTACACCTTTGAAACCATGTTTTCATTGTCATTCTCTTTTAAATTGGTCATTAACTGGGAAATAAAACATGTTCCTCCCTCTTCTTCCCAGAAATTTTACTTAAGTGTCTTTGCTAACCAACAACCGCATAAAATTCTGTGTCCTGGTGATAAAATGGAAAAATGAAAGGGTCTAAAGCAGCCGTGGGTTCCCTGATGTATACTTTCTACACCAGGATTGGATAAACTATATTAGCACAGATTTTGAATAAGTGCTTAAAATAAGGATGTGTTTTTCTTCTCACTGTAGTACATAGAGTACTTTCAGTCTACCTAGAGGTTTCTGAGTTTATTAAGAAAATGTTTATTCTCATTATACTGTATAATTCACAAGCCAATTGAGTAACAACATAGAAAGCAAATAACAGTTACAAAAACATTAGTATTATTACTCTTGTACAACCATGTTTGCGTGAATGTGTCAGGGGAAACCTCAAGCCTTCCACCAAGTTGTAGATAAGAAGGAAATGCCCTGGCTGCTTAAGGGAAATACTAATTGCACTCAGGTCCTCTGTGGGGCGAGAGACTGCCCACTGCAGAGAGTCATGGCTGGCTCTGCAGGCTCGATGGGGCGGTAAAGGTGTTTAGGAAGCAAGTGAAGTTCAGTTGACTTGGCTAAGGTTCAGTGTCTTTATATCAGGGTTTCATAAAATTTAATTCAGTGACTAAAGGGACAGAGGATTGTTAAAGAAGACTCTTTCAACATTTTTTTTAAAAACTCTGGTCATATACAATAGAACCTCAATATAGAAAATAAAAGGAAAATAATAAATGAGTCCTACTTGCTTATTAAACTATAAGCATGGTTTTTAATTATGAATATTGTCACAATGTCATATAAGCTTTGTTTTCCTAATTTCTAACCATCACCTTAGCAACCATATGAGAATAGAAGAATCTAACTTGTATTCTAGGTGGAACCATACGGGACCAAATTGTATTTATTGCCCTTTGATCATCAAAGGATTTTTTAATCTTTCCTTAGGACACACTCTCCCATTTCATTCCAAGCAATGAAATGCAAAGGCACAAGCCAGAACGAGCAAGAGCCAGAATCAGAAAAGCCCATTTCCTTTCCTTATTACAAAGCTAAGCAACATTTTCCAACACCCTTGCTTCTTGACGGGTGGGGGGGCGGGGAGGAAAGAGGGGGCAAAGGGGAATGTCTGACTAGCTCTCAGTGGGGGAATGTAGGTGGAAGTGCTGTAACCACTGCACCATCTTCCACACTTCCCTTCCCCTCATCATCTGCTATCTAGGTGCGGGAAATCCAGTGGGAGGGAGATCCTGAGGTCTTAAAATCGTCTCATGGAAGGCAAACTGGGCATGTTGAACTGTGATGCAAAGCGGCAATAAAGCTTTACTACATTAAAAAATATGGACAAAGGGCCTGAATAGACATTTCTCCGAAGACGACATACAAGTAACAGTAAGTACACCAGAAGGTGCTCAACATCATCAGCCATCAGGGAAACGCAAACCAAAACCATAGCGAAGTTCCCACCCACTGGGATGACAGTAAGTAATCAGAAAGGCAGAGAATCACACGTGAGGGTGTGGAGACATTAGAATCCTCATATAACTGCTGGTGAGAATGTAAAATTATGCAGCTGCTTTGGAAAACAATTTGCAGTTTCTCAAAAGACTAAACAAAGAATAACCATATGGCTCAGCATATGGTCATAAATGCCCCTAAGGAACTGAGAACATGCTGTCCATGCAAAAATGTGAATGTTCATGCACCGTTATTCATAATAACCCCAAATGGCAACACCCCAAATGTCTACACAGGTCCGTGGACAAATAAAAGGTGGTACATCCATACAATGGAATATTATTCAACAATAAAAAGGAATGAAATATGCTCACTCAGCAGCACATATACTAACAGTAATGAAGTCTGATGCATGCTTCAAATGGAGAAACCTTGAAACCATGCTAAGTGAAAGAAGCCAGTAACAAGAGGCCAATAGGCAAATCTTACAGAGATAAATAGTAGATGGTTCGGGGTAGGGAGTGAGTGCTAATGGGTACAGGTTTTCTTTTGGGGATGATGAAAATGTTTTAAAATTAGATTGTAGGGGTAGTTGTACAACTCTGTGAATGTACTAAAAACCATTGAATTGTACATCTTAATTCAGTGAAGTCTATGGTATGTGAATTTTATCTTGAGGAAGCCATTTAAGAAAAAGGTAGTACTTGGCCCTAACTGGTTTGGCTCAGTGGATAGAGTGTTGGCCTGTGGACTGAAAGGTCCTGGGTTCGATTCCAGTCAAAGGCACATGCCCGGGGTGTGGGTTCGATCCCCAGTGGGGGGCGTGCAGGAGGCAGCTGATCAATGATTCTCTCTCATCATTGATGTTTCTATTTCTTTCTT